GACAGAAGGTTCTGCAGTATAGTTGATTTATTTAAAAACTTAACTTCAGGAACACAGGAACAAAATAAACTCCAGGACTTCAGGGTAAACACAACCATACATTGACGACGACCAACAAACACTGAGTGAAAACACAGGGCTTAAATGAACAGGGACTAATAGGATAATTAACTGAACACAGGTGAAGGGAATAACTAATCAGACAGAGCGGGAAAACTAACAGGACTGAACCAAAATCACAAATACAGGGGGAAACAAGATTACAAAACAGAACTTAAACACATTGAAACATGACACTATGCTTGTAAACCTCACTTCCCTGATCTCAAAGAGGCGCTCTAGCGACTGACGCTAGAGGCTGCGGTCTTTAGCCTCCTTGTTAGAGTTGCCGCCTCCCACGACGGAAGCCGCGATTCCAATCCCGGATTTTAGCGTGAGCACACTCTAAATTCAAATCTGTGCGTACACATTTTATAAATGAGGCCCCTTGAAACGTAGTGCAGGTGTCCTATATGGACCACTTTTACGAAACCTGAAAGTCCCTAGACATTGCATTTGCATGGAGAAAAGCAACCAAAACTGCTCCTTTTTTGCTCCTTATGGAACGGCATCAGATGGAACTATCCCTGTAATGTGTTTTCCTCTTCCTTTCCTTTATCTTTCTCCAGTTGCACTTGTTTCTCTCTTCATCTACATCTATCTGAACGCATGATAGAGCTTTTCCTTCTGTCTCTTTCCTTCGCCCCAGTCTCATGAATTTGTGAAGCATTCTGTCTGTGTGAATGTGTGTGTATATATTTTTCAGAGAGAATGAAAGCGAGATTGATCTTCCTCATTTATGCTTACAGTGCTTCCTTTGATAGTTTGGCTGCTGTATTTACCCCTGCGTCTGTAACATTTTTAGAACGTGAATCCATTAACGTTCATTTAAGAAAACAGGCCGCTGTTTTATCAGCCTAACCTTTTTATTTCTGTTTCTAAATGCAAGTCCTCCTCCCTTTTAACTTTGCCACCATCTCGCTACTTCTCCCTCCTCCTCCCTGACTCCGTCTCTGTCTTTCCTTTGCCTAAGGCCTATACTTTTATCATTCCCCGCACTCTAGCTACCTGTTGCCATGCCAACCCCATAATTTAGTGTCCTACACAATGTAGTGTGTACACCTGCCTAATGCGCTCGCCTTGCTGTGTGAATGCATGAGAATCTTACCTGCGCCGCGCTGCTGAAGGTGCTTTTAATGACTCATTTAGAACCGAGCTTTTAATGTTCCGCCTCCTGCGCTCGCCCTGTCATCTCCGCTGCCCACACGCGCTCCATAAAGACCCTCTTCAGCTTGAGAGAGCCCAGTGCATGGAGCGAATATTTTTATTGCAAACACTGTTAATGTGCTCACTTATTATTGAGTTGACACCATGTGTGTGGCTGTGTGTAAATTTGTGAATTTCACCCATGACAACTTCAGTGCTTACTGAATGGCTGTAGTGTGTGTATTCATGCCTGCTAGCAGATTTTGGAAGTGAGCAGCTGTGCGAGTTTCAGACCGCATTAAGGTCCCTTGTTGATTTTTTTGTTTATGCACATCTGTCTCTTTCTTTGGTGGGGAGTGTTTGCCTCAGTGAGTAATGGATCTAATTACAGCTGAGAGCTAGCATGTGGGGTTAAGTTACCTGGTCACAGAGATGACGCTACTGTGGATGCCTGGCATCATGGTTAATTGCTTCCTCCATTCCGTTATCCTCATCCGTCCTTATCCTGCTGTTTGTGTGGATCTTTTTATCTCCAACATCCAGGCCAAAGCAACCAAAATAAAAAACATTTTCATCTCACAAGAAATGAAAGCTTTAGCGTAAGTTCTGCTAGGAAGGCTCAATCAGTGCGTCATGTATTACCTCACTTCTAACCAATCATGTGCTAACACTCACAGTATAAAAGATTGGTACTTACACTCGTCTGAGTTCGCAGATACTGACGCTGCCAATTACCTCCATCCTCCCCAACCACCACCAAGATGGTACCTTCCCCTTCATCCTCCCCACCACCACCAGGATGGTCCCTTCCTTTACCTCCAGGGGGGTCGGCTGCGCCCCTGCCTTCATCTTCAGGCAGGACATGCAGATTCCGCTACCCTCGCTTTGCTCGCTAAGGATGGGGCCTACGCCAAAGAACTTAATAAATTCATGCTTGCCGAGCTGTTAATAAATATATGCTTGTTATATCATTTTTCGTCTTTCTGGTAGAACCATCTTTACACTCTATCGCATTATAATTGCAGCTGTCTTGAAATCAGTTCACTTCTCTTCCTTTATGTCCTCATATCCAGGACTGCGTTAGTGAAGTATTAATCAAACTACATCTGTATTGAATCTGACCACATTTTATTTTATGTATACTGCCTTTCAAAGGTTTGGGGTCAGTAAAGGTCCTTGAAATTTTCGCACGTTAAAAAATAGATACGACCTTATGTTGTGTCTATCACGTTTACACATTGCCACTGAAACCTTCGTCCGTCATAAAAAAATCCGGATCGGGTTTGATTTTCTGCGTTTTTCGCATCCGTAGCAAGCATTTTTAGAGGTGTTTTGACATTTTTCACAGTTTTCCATGTTTCAGAGCCACCATACAAGCGAACTCCAAATTCAGAACTGTTCAGGATCAATTGGTTCATGGAAATAGGTGGTCTTGTGGCTCCAGTATCGCTAGCAAAGCATCAAACTGAGCCACTGACATCCTGAAGTAAACTTTGAATCGCTCTGGATAATCCCGCTGCTCCTTGATAAGGAGGTGGAACTCTCCCTCGTCTCTAAGCAATCTCAGGATTGGATGGACCCAATATTTCCTCTTTCCTTTTCTCTTTTTAAGAAGGGAGAAAATCATCCTCACTGCTTGAAGACTCCATTTTCTATTATTTGCGGATTCCACAGGTACCAGATGGAAATGGGTCGATATTATGTTGCTGTCTGGGAAGGCTGCATTTATTTGATCAAAAATACAATTAAAACAATAATATTGTGAAATATTATTACAATTTAAAATTGTTTTCTATTTTAATATATTTAAATTTTTTATTTATTTTGTGTGGTAAAGCTGAATTTTCAGCATCATTACTCCAGTCTTCAGTGTCACGTGATCCTTCAGAAATCATTCGGATATGCTGATTTGCTGTTCAAGAAATATTGACATATTCTATGAATAGAGTTCAAAAGAACAGTATTTATTTGAAATATTACTATTATTAAATATTACTTTCATTTTTGGTTGTCTATTTTTGAATATTGTCATATATAATTATTACTGTGTCTGTATATTATATTGATATAATATATTATTAATGGAGCTGTCAGTAATTTTTACATTTTACCTTTTTTTTCTATTCCTTGTATTTAATAGTTTTGAGCTTATTGTATGACACTGCCACACACTATAGTGTAGACAAGATGTTTACAGGGTCATTGGGATGTAGTCAGGATTACTGAAGATACAGAGAAAAAAAGACAAAAATGGGGGATGGGATGTGCTAAGGAATGCACGTGTTACAATCATGTAAGATAAGCACGGTGGGCTAATTAATAAAGAACAAGTCCTAATGAATTTAATTACACACACGTCTGGCCAATGAAGACTGCAAAGCACAGAGAAGTGGGCAGAGAGAAGATTAGTGCTAACATGTAATAGAGGGATTACTGTACAAAACAGCAGTGGGAACGTGTTTACACAGCAAATGCAGAAATACCTGAGCATGCCTAACGGACCTTTGTCCCTTGCCTTTGTCATTATCCATGAGCTCTGTCCCAAACAGTCTTGAAATCAGTTCACTTCTCTTCCTTTATGTCCTCATATCCAGGATTAGACTGGATTACACGCAGACAAAACTCATTTTCTTTTCTCTTTTTTCAGTTTCTGCACTGAATCTGCAGTTATGCAAAATAATGTTCAACTCAGCTGAGACATCTACAGTCTTATTATGTATGTCTCCTTTTTTACTTTCTATAAGTGTCTAAGGGGATAGTTCACCTTTTCATTCTGTTAACATTTACCAATTAAAATGTTGTCATTCCAAACCCAAATGGGATTTTTTTCATGAAATTATGAAATTTCACTGACACGGACGAAAATGAAAAAGACTGACATGGTTTAAACTGTTATCCAATCTTGCACGTTTTGTTGATCAATCAACATTTTTTCTGGGGCGCTCAAACCCTCAAGCAAGCTCAGTTTTTGGACCTCAGTATTTCTAAAACCCTGCATACAGCCATGATTACCACAAAATTATATACTGTGGTGATTGAGTGCCACCATCTTTTTTGCTACATTAATTAAATTCTCCCCTTGTTGCTGTTGTAAAGCTTTCCTGTAGACAGTGCTTATCAACCATGTTCTGGGTGTTCTAATTGCTAATAATGACAAATGGCGATTTGCCATGGCTAACCACCTGCTTCCTAAGCACAATAGCATTGTACCGCAGCCCCGTCTGCTGCATGTTTCTGCCTCTCTGAAGGAATCAGCTCTTCTGCTTTTGCGCTTTTCTATAATGCAGAAAACTCAAAATGCACACTGCATAAAGTTTTCATTACCTTTTTTTCAAAAATTGTTCATTCAATGAATATTAGGGAATGTTACATACACTCTTTGGGGTTCATGCATAAAAACAAGCAGAATGAATTTAGATGTAAATCATTCATTAATCCATTCCTACATCAATTGTTGCATTGAACTGAAAGTGACAATCTACATAAGAATGGTTTTATGAACGATTTACACAGAAAACCATTCTGCTTGAATGAGCCCCTTTCTTCCACTGCCTTTCCTCAGCTCTTTCTCCAAGTCTTTGTCAATAGCTGCTGCTGCATAGCTATACCAATGTTTCTTAATAATCTGCTTTAACAATTTTAGGTCGTTTTTCCTGCCACTGTCAACTTTGACTTACTCATTAGGGAGTTTGTAACACATTTTATTTGTAAAGTTTCTTTGAGCCATCAAAATCTTCTGTCTTTGTCCAACACAGGAAGATCCTGGAGGTGAAGGTCATTGACGATGAGGAGTATGAGAAGAACAAAACCTTCACCATCCACCTGGGGGAGCCGGTGCTGTTGGAGATCGGGCAGAAACATGGTCAGTGGATCTCCTTTTGACATCCGTCTGCAGAGTTCTACGGTTTTGTATTAGAATACAGATTGGGGTCTCTGTTTAATATTGTATTAATAGCTTTCACATCTATCCCTGAATAATTCAGGAACAGATTTGATTGAAAGGTTTCTTTGTGCAAATGGATAAAGGGAGACAGTGGATCGTGGTCTTATAATGAGTGATTGTTATAATGGGAGAGTACGAACAGGCAGTAACTGGTCGCAGTGCAAGCGGCCATGTTGAAGCAATATCTCTAGGCCATTTCTACACGTTAATTATGTACTAACTGCTTTAATTTAATGTTCATCCCCATTCTCTTCAAATTGCTGTACTGTTACGGTATCCAATTTCTTTTATTTTTGACTTTCAGTCTCTTCAACGCTTCTCTAGAATACACAAAGTGATGTGTTTGTTTCCTGCTTATATATAGCGCTACTACAACATGATACATTGCAAATGATTATAATAAACACAAAGGGATGAATGCAGTATTTATATGCAGTATTCTTGTTCACTATTCATCCACAATTTAGGTCAGTGGTTTTTTCACAATGCAGTCTGTGGACCACAGAAAATTTTAGACATTTATTTAAATAGTTTTTTTTCTCGCAAAATGCCCTTTTGGGGCTTGAAAATGCCTCAAAGGTAACTGAAATGAAATATGTTTTTAACGCAGTAATTTTTTAAACATTTAAAACATTTGAATATTTATATTACAATATAAATATTAGATGAAAGACTTAAATTTAAATTGAATATAAATTTTAAATATTAAAATTACTGGGGGCCCTATCATACACCAGGCGCGATACAAGTGTTTTTTTTGCTAGTTTCAGCCCTATACGCAGTTATCATTTTCACGCCCTGAATCATTTTAGACCATGCGGTTAGATTGTTAAAATAAAATATAAAAATAAAAGCTCATTTAAAATATATAAAAAACCGATAATAATATATTAATAATAATTATAAAACAACACTGATTGACAGCCCTAGTTTGTAACAGTAAGAAATAAAAATCTAATCTGAATATAGTTTTTTGGGGCAAAAAAAAATAGTCACGTTCTGTTTGTGTTAGCTTAATTTTCATGAACTTTTAGTTTGTTTCTCTTCAGTTACCTGTTTCCTGTGTTCCTTTGTTCTGGTTTTCCCGCCAATTATCAGTTTCTATGGACACTCATTTAATCAGCACACCTGTTGTTTATCATTTAGTGCGTTATCGTTGTATATTTAAGTTACTCTTCTTTTGCAGTTCATGGTCCGGTATTGTTCATCATCTGTGGATTACTTGAGTTAGTTTTTTTTATAAAAAATACCTTTGTTTTGGAACCTTTTGAATCTTTATCATCATCTGGGTTAAAGCATTACACATTCATACAATTTATTTTGGCTTTAGTTTAGTAAAAGTTAATGATTTATTTTGTAAACTTGTACAGTCACAACCAAGTATGCCAGATCACTGCAGTCTGCTGAATCCTCTATGGCCTGTGAGTGTAAAAATGAGCATGAAAATTGTGTTTAAAACTGATTTTTTGGCCTCATTTGCACCGTTACTTTATTTGTGAAATTCCTTTAGTGAAGTTCTACTGTTTCAGCTCTGTAATACATGTGCAAACTCTACACAGCTCAGTAGATGTTCGATGTGTCTTCTGCTGACAGGGGACTCTAATGATAACAAACCGGCGGTGGTGGCTGAGGAAGAGGAGGTGTCCAAGATGGGGTGCCCGAGTCTGGGAGAGCACACCAAAATGGAGGTGGTCATAGAGGAATCCTATGAGTTTAAGGTAAGTCCTGTGAATCAGGAAAAACAATACAGCAGTACTGCTCAATTTCTCACATTCAATTTATCTGAATCCTTACCTCCTCCTTCCCATGCTGACAGCCTCAATACTGGAGGTCACTGGGGTCAGGTAGCTCAGGGATTTAGAAGAGATTTGGGGTGGAAACACTGTTTTACTCCTTCTAAGATTATCCGCAGCCGTTTGAATGCAAAACAAGCAAATGGCTAGGACAGTATGACATTGGAGAAAATGAAATTCGGACGGGGTTGTGCATAGACGCACCACACTGAAATCAGTTTAGTTGAGACCTCTGTGCTCACTGGCCTACGAGACAGAGTCATATTAAATCTTGTCTACTACAAGGACACATTTTTGTGAGTTTAGGTTTGATTGATCTTCTTGGTGTTGTATGTGTATTTGTGTGTTTTTGCAGAATACCGTCGACAAGCTAATAAAGAAGACTAACCTGGCGCTGGTGGTGGGCAGCAGTAGCTGGAGAGAACAGTTTGTCAGCGCTGTGACTGTCAGTGCAGGTCAGTGTCTCTGTGCTCATACATGCTCAAATAGAAGCCTGTGGACCACACAACTGATTTATATTCAATCAAATGATTTGTATAAAACCTTGCCAGCAACAACCAATTTGTCCGTCCACACTGAATGTGAATCTCATGCGACGTGACTCAATCTCAGCCAAGCAGGAGATATTTATGTTAAATGTACACTGTAAAAAAAAAAAAAACATTTTTTGAAGTTGTAAATAAAACAAAAATTATTGGATTAGATTATTCGTTTTATTGGATTAGATTATTATGGGATTATTAGTTTAATTTTATTCTTCTTACGTAAAAATGTCACATTTATTTCAGTGCTTGCTGTTTCTTTGTAATTATTTCTGAAATTTACTAGCAATTTTGGAGTAAAAATTGTCTAAAAGTAAATCCTTAAAAAAAAAGCGAGACAATTTTATTTGCCTGAATTCTTATGAATTGAATGCCTTTTTTCCCCTAATTATTTTACTTTGTTCCAGACTGCTGGGCGATTAATCAAATTTTATTTTCAATTATGATTTTGGCTTCCAACAATTATGAAAACAAGACAATTGAGATAAAAACAAAATATTGTGCGTTTCACAATGATGCTCTTGTTTTGTCTTTTGTTATAAATTTATGTATAAGAGTCTAATTTATTTTAATTTGTATTTTTTATTATTTATCTAAATGTATGTGTGAGTGTGTGTGTGTGTGTGTATATTTTTTTTTTAGATAAATTTTTTTGTTTTTGTTTAAAAAAAAAAAAAATATATATATATATTATATATTATACTGACAAAAAAAAATTGCCATAACAAATTTTGCTATTATCGAGCAACCTGAGTGTTATATACTTTTGGTTACCTCCATAGGTGATGATGATGAGGAGGAGAGCGGGGAGGAACGCTTGCCCTCATGCTTTGATTACATCATGCACTTCCTGACGGTTTTCTGGAAGGTTCTGTTTGCCTTCGTTCCTCCCACGGAGTACTGGAACGGCTGGGCCTGCTTCATTGTCTCCATCACGCTCATTGGGGCCCTAACTGCTCTTACTGGAGATCTGGCATCTCACTTTGGTTGTACAGTTGGCCTGAAGGACTCAGTCACAGCTGTGGTGTTTGTGGCCCTGGGTACATCTGTGCCTGGTGAGTGTTTATTTGTGTATCAGATGTCCTTCCAATAGCATGTAGCTGATTAGTAAGGGATAACATACGGTCAAACCTGAATGCCATGATTAACCAATCAGAATCAAGCATTCCGTCAAATATTCAAGTATTACATACTGTACTATTAAAATGTTGTTACTGCTTCCAAAATCTTTTCTAATTTATATTTCCATAATGGCCCTAATTAGCTTTTGTGTGAGTGCTGTGGTTTTTTAGACTGTTTAATAATGTGGACTAATTAGAGGACATGATTTGCTCTGGAGCAACAAGGGGTCTGTGTGTTTGTCTTGGCATTAGCCACAATAGACTGGATGGAATGATTCTGCACATACTCAAGCTCTGTATGTCAAACCATCCTCAAGCTCCAACACACATAATGAAAATATCTACTAAAAAGAAAAATCTCAGTTGTTTCTTCTAGACAGCAGTGAGATTAAAGGGATAGTTCACCAAAAAACTGTTTGGTTACCCATATTCTTCAAAATATATTTTGTGTTCAAAGTAAAAAGAAACTCATACAGGTTTAGCACAATATGAGGGTGAGTAAATGACATAATTTTAATTTTTGAGTGAACTATCCCTTTAAATAGAGAGTAAACTGTGCTTAACTTTCATACTACTAAAACTTATAAGAGGTGGGTGATATAAGTACACATTAATATCACATTATTCTTATACATTTTGGTTGCTAATGATATATAACAATTTATAATGTGTATATCACAATATATAGTTCTTCCCAGACCGAATTGCTAACATTAATTTTATCATGTAGTACATCTATCTTAGTAGGTCAACAATGATCTCATTTGTTTTTATTTTTATTTCTCATACGGGCTTTTTAGGAGAAAAATTCGAGACAAAGTTGATACTTCATTTAAACATAATTGCGACCACCCTTCAGTCTTCGGGTCCTGAAGGAACACCAACAGTAAACATTTTGCAGGTCTCTCTTATCTGACCCATCCATTTCAGGTCTTGAAGTCTCTACTGATGAGCTGAATCAGGTGTGTTAGGAAGTTTATTTGTTAGTTGGTGTGTTTCCAGGAACCGGGTTGAGAAATACTGTCCTGAACTATGAAAGAACAGCGTCTTTCATTAAAATTCTCCTCTGGGGCTCTTCCAGTTCTCACCATCCTTCTTTCATCTTTCTCTCTCTTACTTTTCTTTGGCTCTCTCCAGACACATTTGCCAGCAAGGTGGCAGCCATCCAGGACCAATACGCCGATGCATCCATTGGAAATGTGACGGGGAGTAATGCAGTTAACGTCTTCCTGGGTATCGGAGTGGCGTGGACCATCGCTGCCGTGTACTGGAACAGTCAGGGCAAAAAATTTATGGTCCCGCCCGGGTCGCTGGCGTTCTCCGTCACCCTCTTCACCATCATGGCACTGCTATGTGTTGTGACTCTACTGTACCGCCGCCGGCCCACTGTATCTGGGGGCGAGCTGGGGGGCCCGCGAACCGCCAAGCTGCTCACCGTGTTCCTTTTCTTCGTGATGTGGCTCATCTACATCATGCTGTCCTCGCTGGAGGCTTACTGCCATGTGCCTGGCTTCTGAGAAAGATCATAAGAAAGATGTACTCCACTGTACAACCCCCCTCTTTCTTCCTCTCTGCTTTTGTGTATATGAGAAGTCTAAAATTAGTGTTTACATCTGTTCTTACTGGTAATTATCATTGTTGAAATTGAACTTGCATCCTTTCGCTCACACTGATGTGGATATCTGATGAGTGTCAGGGAAGGATGATAGAGGCTGTGTGGTTTCATGCACAGCTTCTCTTTATAGATGGATTTCTCTTACATGGTGTCTGCCACCACCTGGATATTCAGACAGCAACACTCTCCAGAATACTCTCCAGAGAGCCCCCTCAGCGCTTTTCTTGCTTCAGTGCTGTTTTTTTTCCCAAGGATGGTCCTTTACGCCTCACTTCGATATTCTCTCAGAAATCCCTCTTCTATCATTTTTTGTTTCCCTCCCAGTCGCAGTCAATTGACTCATTCCCACTGCAGAGATTTGGGAATGCTTCACACCTCTACCTACCCTTAAGACATGAACACTCTGTTTCATCTATCTTCTCTCACCAGTTTCTGCAGCTCCACATAGACCTTCACGCCACACTAGCACTTTTCATTTCTCACAACTATAATTTCAGCTCAAGTGATGCGGCGAGGGCTGAGCCTTCCCAAACTGACTCTGCCCCACACACAATGATACCTACCTATACCTACTTTGACTTCGACCTCTCCCCCAACAATTATTCAACTTCCTGACTACTAACCTTGCTTCAGTGTTTTCTATACTGCAGATGTGTCATCATTGACCCCGCCCTAGCACTACTTATCCTGTCCCCAATATTTCATCATCTTTTTCACCTCTGACCCTGCCCCATCACTACATACACCACACCCTATTCACTTCTAACTCCACCCACTACACCACAGTTTTCATCTCTGGCCCCACCCCAATATTACCACACCTTATTTACATATGACCCTTCCCCCTACATGTGATATGCCTTCTCCATCTCTGCCCCACCCCCAAACTATCTATGCCACACCTTATTTACATATGACCCCTCTCCCAACACAACAAACAAACAGCCTCTTCCCTCCTGACCCCTCCCCTACATTATCAAAACCACACATTTTTACCTCTCATCCTGACCCATCACTACACACTCTTTTCAACTTTGACTCTGTCCACAATTCTTTAGTGTGGGCCCACCCCAATATTATATATACCACACCTTCTTTAGAAATGACCCCACCCCTGACAACATGTCACGCCCTCTTAACATCTACTTTTTTATGTCAAATACTGGTGTTGTAAAGCTGGTGTTTTTCTTTATTTATTTATTTTTATTATGCTACTGAAAGTTAATTATGAAGTCAAGAGAAGGATTGCAGGAAGAAAAGAAAGATTTGTTTTTCAAGGCTTTCTGGCTATTCTTGTTGAACGTGAACAAAACCAGAAGAGGTACACATTTTGCATGGCACAACATTAGTGGTAGAAGTTGAATGGAGACCAAAAGAAATAGTTTAACGGTGGCATTGACATAAGAACCAAGGTGTTAGTGTTTATTCATGTGATATTTATTGATATTTATTATTATCAACTACGTATTATGTGGGGAAATATTGTAGGCTGTATGTGTATGAGAGCATGTATTCGAAAGGACGAGTGCAACGGATTAGACGAAATATACGAGTGTTGTGTGCTAATCTGTCAAACAGTGTTCAAAGTGTTTGTATATGAATATGAGTGTCTTAACGTATGAAAGTGTTGAATTTTGTATGAATTTTGTGTCTGTCACTGCCACACTCAGGAGTTTCAGGCTCTCATCCCGTGAGCTTCGAAATCTTTTCCCATCATCCATTAATCTACAAATGGGTGCAGCTTCCATGACCATGTGGTGCATTCGTTCTCATAATGTTGGTCCTAAATCATGCTTAGAGAGAGCAGACTGTCCTGTCGTGCCGAACTATGTTCCACAGCTTCACTGTGTCAAGCTTTTAAGCTCTATTTGCTATCAAAGGCATTGCGTCATGTGGTTGTGTGTGAACACAACATGGGTGCCTTGATATCAACAGTACAATGTCTCTAGGCCATACAGTAGGTCAGAGTTTACACTGTAGTCAAGTGAAAATAGTGAGTTTATTTATTGTTCATGCACAGCATGAGCATTTTACCTGTGAAATGTGAGCCCCTCACCTTTGCCACATTAATCCAGAGCCGTATCCAATTATCCAAGCGCTTACCTCTCCTGATAGCATTGCCGCTGCCTAATTTGTGTTTATGTGCATCGTTAATGTATAATAGATATGATTCCATTTCAATTTCAGTTTGCTCTCTTTATTCAGTGTCCTCCATCTGCTCCGTAACTAATGAGACTTGGTTCATTTCCAGTTAGCCAGGAGTTAAACTAGCTTAGTAAGCCCAACTCTCTCTCTCTCTCTCATCCCATACTCCTCTTTGATAAGTGATACAGTGATTATGGGTTTCAGTTTGCAGATATTACATAATTGTTTACAAGGGTTTAATGTGTCCCCATTTTCTCAGCTATCAGCCATCTGCTTGGCCCGACCTGGGACACATGCTATAGGAAATGGAAAGTTATAGCTTTAGGAAATTCTGGTGTTGCTCCTTATTAAGGGCCCAAGTAGACCAGAGCATCACTTTTTAATGCACTAAATAAAAGTCTTTTTAAAGAGCTTTCTGAAATATGATAAGAGGGAATGTACAGTCCCATTACCTGATTTATAATGATGCCAATGGCCAAATGCACCACTTTAGAAGGGTGCTATCTGTTATGACGATACCATTGGTTTAAAAGAGGCTGGGCTGCTATAGCACTCCATTTTCGTGAAAGATAGAACATAGAGGTCCAACAAATCCACAGTCAGCCTCTATGAAAAAGTGCTCCGCTCACTTTCTCATGCAATGCGTGACGCAACAGTGGGCGAAACAGATGTACATACGGTCCGCATTTATACCTGCATATGTGTATTTATACATTCCAATGATACCAGACTAAAAAAAGCACAGAGTGATGTATGTTTAGTGCTTCTTGTTGCTAGGCGATGTCTCAAAGAGTCATTGTCTTTCTGTCATTATGTTGTCTGGTGTCAGTGCTCTAGGGTGGGTGAGTTGGTTTGTAATTACTTTATAAGGTCACTCTCGTCTTTCTCCTTTTATCTGGCCGCACAGGGTAAATTAACTTAAAAGTTCCACCCGAATTCAAGGACAATAAAGAACCTTAAATTGCCCCTTAGAGTATTGCCTCATATCAATATGAGCGTTTTGCGAGAGCAGAGCAGTAATTGATTTTATTGAGGTAAACATATTCAAACGTGGCCGTCATAGTTGCATCATCAAACTATAGAGGATTATGGTGGTGAATCCCTGTTCTCAGTAGCCTTTGGATAACCTTGAAGGAAATTACCATATGAGAGCATATCCCTCTAGAAAATCTTTTTATGTGGACCGGGAAGGACCATTTTTTGAGGACTTAGCCTAAAGCATTGTGACGGATATATGATCATATAACAGAAGATGTGCAGACACACATTTAAAGGAATAGTTCACCCAAAAATGAAAAATCTGTCATCATTTACTCACCTTCATGTAGTTCCAAAACCTTTATGGCTTTCTCATGGAACACAAAACACAATTAAAGTTAGTGGGAGTCAAAATAACATTAAACCCCATTGACTTTCATTTTATGACACAATTTTTTTCTGCTCAACAGAAGGTTTTTACAGACATGAGGACAAGTAAATAATTTAAAATGATGTGTTTTTCTGTCCTTTTAAGTGTGTTTCCATGCTCGTCCACTGTTATTTGATCATAAATCAGTCACAACATCCCCAAATACCCTGGCATAAACAAAATGACCTTGAATATCGAATATTCATAGTCCATCAAAGCATGCTCGTTTGACTCTTGTATGTCAGAGTGCTTGTGTCGTGTGAGAGTCCCGGTGTCACATGTGCTCTCTTGTGATACTTCGATCTTAAAGCATGTCTTTTCTGTGTGTGTGCATTCGTCTCATAATATTGCATTTCTCTTTAATCACAAACATTGAAATATTTACAAAAGAAATTAATTGTGTTTGGTTTTGTATGTATTGCTATTTGATAAATTACTGTTTTAAAAGACTTTGTTTGTTTTTTTAAAAAGCCAAGTGTTTGTTAGTTATATGACACTATTATTGTCTTGAGATCTGTTCTGTACTGAGACAAATTTATATTTTGGGTAAAAAAAAAAATCAAGTGCTGCATAGAGTACTTTATCATCATCATCTTAACAACAACAACAACAACAACAACAACAAAATAATGTATGTTCTCAATGTTTTATCTAAAAGTGTGTGAGGGAGAAAGGGTGTGATTTTAATGTGAACTCATTAAAGCTGTAATGTGAAGAAAAAGTACAGTATTTTGCCAAAAGATGGAGAATGAGTCTCTGTTTGTAATGCGTAAAACTTTGTTTCTTATTTAATTTATTACCGAGTACATTAAAGTTGGAATTGTATATTACTAACAGACTTTTTAACTCTTTATTAAAGGGGCTTTTGTTTTTTCTCCAGCAAATGACAAAGAAATCACAACACCTCTGCTAATATAGTTGTCTATTTATTGACTTTTCTTGGCCTTCATATCAAACTAATTAGCTGTATAATCGAATATCTAACTGCAAAGTAAAGTACAAAATGAGCATTTAAGGATATTCTTATGGGCTGTGTATTTTTAAGATAAATATGTCTATGTAGATATTTTAAAGAAATTTAAACTTTTTTGCCCATAAAAAAAAAATATATATATATATATATATATATATATATCACTGGGGTGGTACCCTTTCAAAACGTACTAATATGTACCATTTACATAATAGGCACACTTTAGGTACATATTTAGTATGTTTCTTTAAAGGGATACTCCACCCAAAAATGAAAATTCTGTCATCATTTACTCACCCTCAAGTTGTTGCAAACCTGAATGAGTTTCTTTCTTCTGCTGAACACAAAGGAAGATATTTTGAAGAACGATTGGAACCAAACAGTTGTTTGGCACCATTGACTTAGTAGAAGAAAACAAATACTATGGAAGTCAATGGTGCCAAAGTTCCAATCGTTCTTCAAAATATCTTCCTTTGTGTTCAGCAGAAGAAAGAAACTCATACAGGTTTGCAACAACTTGAGGGTGAGTAAATGATGACAGAATTTTCATTTTTGGGTGGAGTATCCCTTTAAGAAAGTACACACAAAAGGTGTATCTTTTTTCTGAGAATGTATAATGAAATTCACTACACACAAAACAACTTTGGTCCCCATTTACTCTCACTGTATTTGTATGTGTTCCACAGAAGAAAGTAAGTCATGGGGTTAGGAACAAAATCATGACCCTCGAATTTTCCTTTTAAGAAAACTTGATCATC